GCTAATTGTTGGAATAATCTTTCAATATCAGTTTTTCTCTCCTCATAGGCAGAGTCGCTCTGATAGGTTTCAATTTGGTTGAGTAATTTCTCTAAAGTTATTAAATCATTTTTGGCAATGGTGGTCTGGGCTTGACGAATTAACTCATCCAATTTACCAGTGATTTCTTTTTTGGCTCTTTTTTGTTTGATTTCTCCTAATATTTGGTCACGCAGCCTTATGATTTGATTTTCCTCGCTGAGAGAATTAAGTTCACTTTCTCAATTCGGATTACTTAATTCTCCATTTTTAATGACCGGCTGCTGGTTCAAAGCATTTTTAATTTTTTGAATAGCCTCACTTAAGACTTTTTGCCGGCGGGCAGCACGAATGACATCTAATATTTCTCTTTCGCGACTTTGTAATTCATTCGGATTAGCAGCCGTTTTCAGATAATCTTTTCAATTAAAATTTGGCTGTTCTTGAACCGTAATTTTAGGTTTTCGGTTTAATTCAACTTCGATTTCCGAGATGGCCTTTCGGATTTCAGCGTCGAGACTTGTATCATTTTCATTACCGCCCTTTATTTTCGCTATTTCTTTTTTCGTCATTTCCAGAACGTCCGAAAATTGGTCGGTAGTTCTATTTCTTTTCACTTCCTCAATAATCTCGTCTTGACGTTCCTCACCAAGCAGGTCCCAACCAGCCAAATTTTTTAATTGTTGGAGAAAATTATTCTTTTCTTGGTCAATGAGATTTTTCTTTCTTTCATTAAGCATTTCAGCCTTTTTGAGAGTTCTTTTGAGGTGTCCGTTAAACTCATCGGGGTCAAAAAAATGTTTTGAACTTTTCACTTCTTCAATAAACTCATCTTTTTCCCTAGAAGTAAAAAAATATCAATGACTCAAATTTTCTAATTCGCTAATCTTACTTACTATTAATTCGCATCTTTCTGGAACACCAGTAGTATTTTCGTTATGGATACTTCCACAACTTCGGCAAGGTCCATTCTCCTTTTTTCCATATTTATCATTTCAATACTTTCTAGCATGATTTCAAGAGCAGAAAAACCTATCTTTTATTTCTTTTATTCCTACTTTACCTTCTTTTATCTCTTTTGAACACTCCGAACAAAAGTATTTTGGTGCTTCTTCATGATAATGTGCTTGTCAATTATCACCATGCTGTTCGTAAAGTCTTCTCTTTTTTTCATCAGATAGAAAAGTATAAGCCTCATTGATTTCCTGCATTTTGGCTTCGGCTTGTTTCTTTTCCGTTTCCGACTTGTTGGCTCAGCGGTCAGGATGCCATTGTGGGGCTAATCTTCGATAGGCACTTTTAATTTCACTCTTACTCGCACCTCTCGCTACTCCCAAAATTTCGTAATAACTCTTTTCCACGATTTTATAAATTTATCTTAACTTCTTTTCAGCAAATATTTTTAGCGAGTTTTAAGATGTCTAATTTTCCTTGTTCCCTACTGTTTTTTTTTTTTTTTTGTGAAATTATTGCCATATGGATTATATACTATTTATTCTCTTCTATGGTATATAGATAATTTATTATATCAAAATGGTCGGAACGGCGAGACTTCGACCATCTTTAATATTAGAAAACTTTGCTTATGATTTTAAAACAATGGAATTGCTAATCACTAAAAACCTCCAAGTTAGTTAAAGTTTAGCAATTCCAATCAACTATATTATAATTTTATATGAGTTGAGTTAGTTTTCATAATTTACTATAATCTTTAAATATTTCTTCATAGGAATTGTGAATATAGTTGGAGGTAGTGTTAATATCGCTGTGTCCCAATACTTTTTGAATGGTGGTTAACTTTATTCCCCTATTATTCGATAAAGTAGCAAGTGAACGCCTAAATGTATGTGGACTGATGTGCTTATTTAAATTTGCTTTTTTGTTTCGTTGATAAATCATTCTTCTTACTTGGCTAGGGTGTAATTTTTTCCCTCATCTCGTTTGAAATAAATAATTATCGCTATTGTTAAAGTGCTTAATTAAAAAATCAGGGATAGGGACAAATCTAATCTTGTTGCCTTTGCCATAGACTTTTAAACTTCCATCGCGATAATCCGAATGTTTAATATTCACTAACTCGCTAACCCTTAACCCGATATAAAAAAAGAAATCTAAAATTAGGTTATCTCGCTCACCACTTCTTTTGATGGTTTGATTGTGAGCGTTTTTTAACTTTTTTAATTCCTCGGGGTTGATGGTTGGAAAAAGTTTGGGTTGAACTTTGGGAATTATTCTCATTATTAAATCTCATTCAATTTTACTTTCTACCTTTTGAAAGCGAGCATGAGAAGCCAAACTATTTCGCAAATTTCTTAAATGGTGAGGGCTATATTTGGTTAAGTTATCTTTGAGGAAATTAACGATATTATCAGTGTTTAATCCTTGGTTTCCATATTGTCTAACATGCCTCAATCTTATTTGGATAGTTTCGGGGGTCAGATTTCTTCTCTCCAATCAATTTTTATATTCTTGTAATTTGCTATTCATATTTATATTTTATTATGTTTACCTTTAATTATTTTATTCAATCATTTTAACTCTATTATTTATCAATATTAATATATTTTATTATGTTTACCAAACAAAAGAAAATAAAAAAAAGAGGTAAACACAAAAATAATTATTATGACTGAAACTACTAAAAGAGGCCGAGGCAGGCCAAGGAAAACATACACCAAAGAAGAATTAAAAGAAAAAGGCAGGAAGCATCGTAAGAAATACAAGACCTATTACAAGTATTATTACTTAAAGAGATTGTTGGAAGACCCTGACTACAATAGAAAAAAACATTTGAAAGAAAAAAAGAAAAAGAAACTTACTGGCTCTAACTAATAAGAAACTATG